TGAGGGGCGAGCAGCGCTGCCCGGGCCGTGGGGAATGAAGGGGAGCGGCCCGTGCAGCCGTGCCTACCCAGCCCCAGAGCAAAGCGGAGGGCAGCGTTTCTGGGTGCTGCTGGAGGCGGCTGTAAAATCCTGCTGCTTCGAGCAGGGTGTGTTTCAAATCTCTTGAGTCTGTCGGCCTGAAGTCAAATGGACGAGGTCCACAGGCGCTGGAGAAATAGGTCCGCGTGAGTTGAGTGCCTGTGATTAGCTAGTAGCGTTCAGACAGTGCAATGACTCTGCTGCGTTCCCCTCTAAAACCTACTTGGGCCTGTTGGAATGACTGCTGCAGTTCCGGAGGCTACAGCCTTAATGTCAATGTGTCCTCCACACTGTAGGTACTCAGGTGTATCTTTATGAGAGATGGGCTTGTTTAAACTCTGGGGAAGATAGTTTCTTTAAGAATGGGGTGGTTAATATCATAATAATAACGTATATAAGCCCTTTGGTTTAAGGATCTAGTTATTTCCCTATTATGCAATAGAAAGTAACTAATGTTGCTATTATATATGAAACTTATAAACTTCCTGCATGCAAATCTCTACAAATGACTTGTTGCTGAGTCAGTAAGTCATAGTGATTTGACTTAGATCCCACTGATAATTCCACTGTAGAAATGGAGTAGAGAATGACTAGATACAAAATGCTGCCAAATGCCATCAGCTGGGAAGAGGAATGTTTTATCTTGCTCTTGCCCTTGCCTTTAGTGTGCGTGTGTGTGGTGTTTGTTTGGTTTTGTATGGGGTTTAGGGTTTTTTCAATGCTTTCCCCATGTGGCATGTTCTTTCATGAAGCAAGAGACTAGAATATCTTCTTGACCTGTGTTACCATTATTACTCAATATCACGACCTTCATGAGATTGTCAAATGACAAAACACAGATCTGGGGGTGGAGAGAAACTCCAAACTGACAAATGACACCAGCAGGCTATATTGCATGCCAGTCAGGAGTCCTTTTTGGAAAGAATTTGAAGAAGTTTCCTTTAACACCTGAAGATAAACTCTATCTGCTTTATGTGTATGCCAGGTTAATGTTTTTCCTGGCCTAAAAGGTTAACATTAGTAGAACCAAAAGCAACACAGCAAGCATTAGATTTGTAGTCAAGCTCTTCTTACCAGTATTTTTACAAATTCTTCCAACAAGGAATTTCTTTCACTAGATGCATTCATAATTTATTTTTTTTTAAGTGTATTGTGTCTGTCACTCTTCAATTCTTCTTGTATCCATCCCAGTTTCTTTCAGTTAATTTCAAAATACAATGTTGTCTTAAGTTTGGCAGTATGACCAAACTATGATGATAATAAAGTTATGTGGATTTGAGCAAAAAAGATACATCATCACTGAATTAAATCAGAACATGGGGTAAGGAGAGGGCAAACTGTGCAAGGATTTGCTAAAAGCTGTATCAGGCATTCAGACAATACCATGTATCTGGAGAATTCTGTGCTGGGAAGAGATTGCCACACTTAGAAGGGAGACTTTGCTTTGAAAAGTTTTAAACCAAAATGTCATATGATGTTCTTTTTACCCAGGTTGTTTTCTTGGCTCTGTTATTGCCTCTACCTTCTACTGTGTTAGTTGGTTTCTATACCTTTTTCTCATGATCTCAACATTATTTTTTTTTCTATAATGCTTCCAACAATTTTCATCTTCACCAAGTCACCAGCCAAAATGAAATTGCTGGTTACTTTGCACATGTCTATTCAGCAGTACAGTACATCTGCTACCTTGTTTTTTTTTAAGATGGAAGACACACAATTTTGACCAGGTTAAAGATGACTGGGTGAAAAACTGGCAGGGCCTTTTCGGCTGAAGGGTAGCGTCAACAGTTCAGAGTCTAAATTTACAATTACAGGTGGCCAGTTTACAAGCAGTTTACAGCAGTTTACAGCAGTCAGTAGCAAAGAAAATGCTGTGATACCCCACAGTATTTTCATTAACAGCCTGGGGGATGGGTTGGAATGCCCTCTCAAGTTTGCAGATCACCACAGACAGAAGGAACAGTTCACTGGAATTCCAGTTGGAGAAGTGGCCTGGCAGAAGCCTAAGTTCAACAAAGTTCAGCACTTGGGACAGAAGGCTAAGAAGCAGCTTGGTGAAAAAGGACCTGAGTTCCTGCTCACAAGCAAGTTCAATAGAAGTGGGCAGTGTGTTCTTATGCTGGTGAAGATTAACCACATTAGGAAAAGTGCAGACTGTGGATCAAAGAAAGTAATTATTGCCATCTGTGTGGCACTTGGGAGGCAGCATCTGGAACACCATGTCTGGTTTTGGTTCCCCCAGAGGAAGAGAGAGTCTGAAGAACTGGATTTCGTCCAGCAGGGGGTCGTAACATGATCACTGCGCCTCAGCACAAAGCATGCAAGGAGAGGTTGAGAGATCAAGGGCTGTTTCTTCACAGGGAAGTGTAAGAGGGCCTTTTGTCAGATGTGCACAGAAAATACAACAGGCAAAGAACACAAGTTGCAGCAAGTGAAGTTTCAGGTAGATGTAAGGAAGAAACGTTCAGTATGAGGGGCTCTGGATCATGGGCTCAGAAAGCCTGTGGAATTTCCATCCTTGCAGATACTCAGCATGTGACTAGAAAAGGCCCTGAACAACCTGGTATAACTTTAAATTTCAGCTTACCTGAGCAGTGGGTCAGGCTAGACAACCCCCAGAGATTCCTTCCAGAATTAATTATTCTGTGTATAGACACAAGTTTTGAGAGGTTCTCCTGCTTATGTGAATGAGGCTGTATGAGTACAGATGATAAAGAAGCACCAGAATGAAGTTGCATTTCTGCAACTGCCACTACTTATTTATCCTTGCCTCTCACACACAACATACATACAGTTTTAGCTTATGCTGTAGTTTTAGCCTATGCTGTAGTTTTAGCCTCTGTGGACCCTAATTTGGATCTTTTCTTAGCTAAGCTACTTGCTTTTGCAAAATGAACTATAGTTATTTTTGCAATCTCAACTTTTCTGTTGTGTTGAGTCTGCGTAACAGATTCAGTTACCAGGGAGAGTGCAATGCTTTAAGTACCAGTGCAATTGCTTAAGACTCATTTTCTTTAAGATATCCAGTAGGAAAATAAATTGAGTAGGCTAAACAAGTATACCCAGATGACTAAAGTCTGGTCTAGATGTTTTGCCAAATATTTTTATGAAATATTTGCATGTTTCATGTTCCATTTTATTCAAGAATTGTATAATAAAAATCCATTGTAACTTCTTTTGCCAAAAGCCTTGGGATCATGAGCTAATGGGCAGCCTAACCACTAGCTGATCTCTTGAAAGGTATTTGCCAGGTAAAGTCTGGCATTTTATCCAGGAACAAGAAGAATAAAAATACTCAGTGAAGTACACATACAGTCAAGTACATGTACAGTACTTCAAGTTTTAGTTTTGTCAGTCAGACCCAGACAGGATTTTTTTTTCCCACCTCATTTCAAAAGAAACATTCAAAAAAAGCTGTATCATACTGTCAGCATTCTTTTCAGTAAACAAGAACTGGTTTTAGATAAGGAAAAGCTTAGTACCCATTTCAGAGGGAAATCTGTTTCACCACTCTACTGAAGTAATGTGACATTTTGGGGATAAAAAACAAGGTTTGATTGTATAGCTAACAAGAAGGGTTACAAATATTGCAAATACTTCATTTTGTTTCTAGCTCTTAGCTTTTATCACTTCAAATACATTGCAGGTTTGCTTTTTATTCCCACAGGAGGAAAGAGACACCTGCTTGAGAGGGGAGGGAGATCTGTTCATCAGAAGCCTTCCAAGCAAGATAATTTCTGGGAAACTTTTTAAACTGTTACTTATTCATAATTTCTGCCTGCCTGCTAATTCTAGTAAAATGCTAAAGGTAGAATTGTTGTTTGTCATCCTTCCCCCAAGTTGGGTTGATTTCAGTGCAGTTTCAGAACTGAAGCTAGGAGCTTGTTCACTATAGCTGTTCCAACTTAACAAAAAGTCACGAAGATACAGCATAGACCAACAGAAGTAGCTTTTCGCCAGGCAGTTACGTGGCAAAGCTTGAAAGTAATGAAAAGTTACTTCTAAAATCTGTTCTCACTATTGTCTTTTCAGCTGCGCAGCTTCTTGCTTGACTTCCATAAGCCTCATGTTTCTGTTTGTCTCATTTATTTTCTTCTTTGAAAATTATTACAACTGGTTGATCTGAATTCTTTTCCACTGAGATAATAAAGACTCCATGTAATACCATGCCACTCTTTGCACCCCTACATATGATGCCATGTGTTAGAAACCCTATACAGATCAGCCCTTGTGGTTGCTTACATACAGCATAGCTAAGTACATCTGTCTTCTCTCTGCTCTTGAGATTTAAGGCTCAAGCTGTAAATCTTTGTATGATAATTTGTTGGGAGTGGAAAGACTGTGTTATTTACCCTTTTCTTCAATCTCTCACCAGATAATGCGGTACGTATCTGGTGGTTTTCACTGCCTTTCATCAAATCATCTCTGTTCAAGATACCTCTACATGTCCAGTAGCCTAGACAATTCTTTTGTGACTGCTGATAAAATTAGGGTAAAACCCACTTTGTCTTCCCCTACCCCCAGAAGTGACAGATTAATAGCATAAATTGGAACCAGTTCTTAATGAACATGAAAGGAACAAAAGCAGTGACAGACATATGCTTCAAACCTGTTTCAACAAGAATGTACTGACCTCTGAATTACTCATACTTACTGTCACCCATCTCTCTCTCTCACTACTGTCAGAGAGAAACAGGGACAGATTTTTTGAGTTTTGGCAACATATTTTTG